GAACTCATATAGCAGCCAACATATCTGTCTTTTTCTAAGTTCTTGCAATGGTCTTTATTATTAGAAAGAATTTTAATTCCAGAGTTAACATTTTATTTTTGTGTGTGTGACCCTCATTGCTGATGGTTAAGCCTTATATTTCTGTTTGCCCCTACACTGCGAAACCCTTTAAAGGACTTTATGAAGACTGCACAAACTATGCTTTTCTTAGTAACAAATAAAATGTCCTCCATCAACCATTGAGCTATAATTTACCCTTTTATCTAAATTCTTGGTAAACAACTGATGTAAGGGTTTTTTCTTTTACTTCCTTAGATCTGTTCTATCACACTGACAAACTTATTGAGACATTTAGAAACTTTGTAATTCAACATTCTTAATACTTTCCTAATTACCTACATTAATATGCCTAATGTCCATGAGGTTTTAAAAATATTATTATTGCTAATTACTCTTCTTATGTTCATTGCCTTGATATAAATTTCCACTTAATTAGCTGATGGTTTTGGAATTCTGAACCTCTACAACTACCAAAAATATGGTCGCTTAATGGGTCGATTCATCTGCACCTACAAATGGCTTAAGAAAGCCCTGGATGAGGAAACTGCCTAAGAACCATTTCCTGATTGCCTCTTTATTGCTCAATGTAGCCTGACCCTACTGTCAGTGACTCCTTAAAACAACCATCAATATTAAAAATTCTCCCTGACCTGGGGCATGACTTGGGACAAGCCCAACACAGTGACATGGGACTAAACAAATCTACAATTAATCAGCAATGCTTTCAGAGAAAAATCTTGATCAAAGGGTGAAATATATAAGGTGAAATAAAATGGAGTTGCCTATGTCAAGGGGTTTTAAGTAAATCTAGGAGGCCATTAAGGGGACGGGCCTGGGGACGGGCCTTGTGCATGTCCTCACTGGTGAAACCATGAACTTTTGAACTGGGCTAAGCTGTAAGAAATTCAAGAACTCAGCCTTCACACCTAGCAACTTGCTAGAGTAAGAGACTTGACTTCCTGATGGCCTTAGTCACCAATTTTATTCAGTCAAGATTACTTTTCAGCCTTATAACACTAATCAGAATTCTTTGTAAACAACGTATACAAGCAGTCCCTTTGTCTTTCTTGGAAAACCCCTAACTTGCTCCCTAATGGAACACAATATGGGATGCAATTCTGAGGCCCAAATAAATGCCTTTCTTTTATTCAGTTCTGCCTCTTTTCTCAGTCTGTAGGTTGTTACCTGAGTCTTTGTATCCAGACTACAATTTGAAGACCCCAAATAAATGCTTTTGTTTTATTTCAGGACTTCCTCTTTTCTCAGTCAATAGGCCTAGGAACACAACTTAATTTTAAGGGTTTTCCAGGTTATTTTATTAATTCACTGACTTCTCCAGTTTGGAATAAACTTCAGAGGCTACTTTGTTTAACCATCCTTCAGAAGTTTGAACCCTTTGCAGAGGCCTATCACAGGTCTTCCCTGACCTGTTGGAACATCCTCAGAAATAAGGACTGAAAAATTATGGACATTCTTGACTGCTGGGTATGAACTTGAAAAGAATGGAAATCTTGGAAATTTTCAAATCTATCTAAACTTCCTTCTTTGAAGATCAAGTCTAAGAGACTCTTTCTCTCACCTGGGACATCTGAGTCCCTTGCTTGTCATTTACAAAAAGGAACTCTCTCAAAATGTGTTCCTCAAAATGTTTGGCTGTCACTTTATTTAATGTGATTCTGCTCTCCCATATTCTGTGTCTCGTGTGCTCCCATAGTGGCTAATGCAGTATTTGTTTTTCTCTTAAAATATAAAGTTTTATTGAGATGTAATGCATATACTATACAATTCACCCAAAGTATACAAATCAATGATGTTTACATGTTCATTTAATAATCATCACCATCAATTTTAGAACATTTTCATCACCCCAAAAAGAAATCTTGTTTCGATAGCAGTCATTCCCCATTCCCCCCTCCAGAGACCCTGACAACCACTAGTCTACTGTCTGTCTCTATAGATTTGCCCATTCTGGACACTTCATAGAAATGAAATCATACATTATGTGGCATTTTGTGACCTGCTTCTTTCATTTTGCATAAGGTTTTCAGGTTCATTATGGTATCATATGTCGCGACCCTTCAGGGACCGAAGCAACACGCCCAAGGTCTTGATTCTTCTCTAGGCTTTATTGTCTAATCTCTCGCGGCGGTTACAGCAGTTGTCGGGAAGCTCTTTCTCCCTCCCGGCGGGGTCCCTTATATTCAGTCACCCAACCAATCCAGGACAGTATCATGCGTGACCTTTAAGCAGATAGGTGTCACGCACCACTCTAAGGGGCAGCACGAGCTGTGCACGGGTACGGAAGTCTGCTGGGCCAATCCCCAACAGGGAAGCAGGCGCCATCTTTAGGGCATTGTCCAGCTGGAGTGGGGCTCAGCCTCGGCCGTAGGCCGGGCCCCCACAATCATATAGCAGTATTTAATTTTTTTATTTAAAGAATAACATTCTTTAGTATGGCAATCTTTTCAGATGCCCACTCCCACAGTTTCCTTGTGCCAATTAATGATGCCAAATTGTAACTATACTGGTGAGTATACACTATTTATTCCCAACTCTGTAGCAGACATCAGTAACAAAGCCCAGTGCCTTCCTCTAAGAATCTGCACCTTAATAAAACACAAGAGTCTAGGATTTCAGAATAAAAAACACAATACTTTAGCTCTTGATTTTGTAGCTCCCTACCCCAACCCTGTGGGCACATTCATGAATTTTGTAGATGCTCACTGAAAGGGTATCTCGCCGCGACCCTCCTTACCCACAATGACTCAGGAGACATGGGCCCACGCAGAGACTTTATTATCTGAAGGAGAGAGTGGCTGCCCCAGAAGGTGGGGGATGGGGAGAGAGAGAGAGAGAGAGAGCAGGGAGAGCAGAGGGACCGAGAGACAGAGAGACACAGACAGAGAGAGAGAGGGCAGTAGCGTGGTGCTTTTTATTGTGGATCCGCTTGGCCTGCTGCTAAGGCAGGGTAAACCCAGTCAAGCCCCAGGCAAGCCCAGGCATAATTCTCACTGGCTTATGTGCTTGGGACCATGGGGTAAATGGAGGATAAATTACTATATTCTTACACTCACTCCTATAAATAACCTGGGGTGCATTCTTTGTTTCCTACTCTGATATGAGACTTCTGGATCAGAAAGGTAAATTTCTACCCCGTCCTCCTTTAGAAACCATGAGTTGCCCCAGTGTTTTCAAAACCACCAGGACTGTCTTGGTGAGATGCAACAGAAGGAGACAGAGAGATTTGACGCATTAAAGGTAATCAACCTGACACTGCTTAAAGGGAGCCACATAAAGCAGAAGGAATATGGGCAACCTGTAGGGGCAGATAGGCTCCTGGTGACAGGCAGTAAGGAAAGTCCTAAAATCACAAGGAACTGAACTCAGCCAACAACCTGAATGACACCAGAAGCAGATTTATCCCCAGAGCCTCCAGAATGGAACATAGCCCTGCTGACATCTTAATTTTGGCCTTGCAAGACTCTAAAGAGAGGACCCAGCTGAATGACACTATACTTGGATTTTTGTCTTACAGTATTATTGTGTTCATTGTAACCTAAAATGAAACTGCCAAACCATCTATTCACTTTGGATCCTAAAAGCAAGCTGAATATAGGTCAGATATAACCATGATAACTATGTCAGGAAGCAACAATCAGAAAAATTAGAAAATTCAAAATGGAATATCTCATCACACTGGAGTTTCTTCACAAAGAGAAAAAAAATGAAAATAAGGTTGCAACTAAAGTAAGTTTGCTTAGCTCTTGATGAGTCAACACATGGATACTCTTCAGCTGTTGTTTGTTTATTCGGGAGTCTGCCAATTTTTAAGTAACTGAAGAATTAGTTTTTAAGAATTAGTTTTATAGTCTGTATAGAGTAGCTTTGGGGGAGAATATTTTCAAAGAAATTTAGAAAGCCCTAATTCAGTACAACCTCAAATGGGATTTGCTAAGGAGGTACTTTACGGAAAATATTTGAATCTACTGTGGGTTATTGAATTAGTATTGCCAATGGCAATTTTAATTTGCTCTCATGGACTTAACCATTTTCAGTTTCATGAATTTTTGTCAAAAGTAGAAATCAAATATACTGACATGCCCTACCATGTAGCAATTTGACGGCTTGAATGTGGAAAAGTTTATTAAGATCTGACCTCAGGGCTGAGATAGAAATTTTTCTAAATGAAAAGAACCATCCACAAGCACTTATCAAACACTGAATGGCTATGGGTATTAGCCTCTGCTGCAAATTTGATGTTTCTTAATGAAATCAACCTAAAATTACAAGACAGGCAAAGCTTATAACATATAACTTGTCACTAAAGTTATTTTGATGACAGCTAGCAGTGTTTGCATCACAAGTAATGTCAAGCTGATTTATTACACTTCCAGTGCAGTAAAAGGTTAAAATAAGAATTGAGATCCTTACCCTCATGGAAAATTAGCAGAGGCTATATCTTCCACGTGCAAACCATTATTCTAGTAGCATTTTCTGACCTCTATGAAAGTGTAAAGGATATTTCCATACCTCAAATTCCATTTAACTGAGCAATTGAGGAGCTGCCACCTAACCTTCATTTAGAAGTGATTAGTTTGCCACTTAATGACATGCTGAGAGGCAAGTAGAACACAATAGAATTCTATAAATGCTTTTCAAGCAACGAATTCTCTCAATTTAAATCATGCTTGTGGGTGCCAGTATTTGGCAGTCCCTATCTATTTGAAACGTTCTCAAAAATGAAATACATAAGACCTCATTATAATCTAGAATTAACAGATAAACCTTTGCATTTGATTTTGGTGATGGGGAACACTGAATCCCAATAAAGCAAAATGTTATCCTCATAAAAAAAAATTCTTCTCATAAGTAGACCTGTATTATAAAAAAAAATGTCTTTAATCATTATTATATTTTGGGTTTCAATATAAAATGGGGGCAGTATTCCAGTATTGAGGAGAGCTAAGTCTTAACACCATCACCTTAGGGACGGAGCAGTGACACGGCGCGGGAGACAGGCAGTCCAACTTTTCTGATTGGCAGGGGCTGTGGGAGTGTCCTGGGCCCGCTCTCCTCCAACCTTTTCCAAAGTGCATCTCTGTGAGGGTTGGGAACCGAGGGCCAGGCTCGAGGGTTAGCGTGGTCCTTGAGAGCAACTGGCCGGAGGGCGGGTGAGAGTGCGCAGCACCATTTTGGGGGAGCGGAGGGCCCAGGGCACCCTGGCGCATGCGTATCAGGGATCCGAAGCCAACGCGGCGCGGTCGCCATTGAGGGAAGGTTTTCGTCACAGCCCGCCCGGCGCTGGAGGCTGGTCCAGCCCCAGGGGCCCAGTCACTGGCGTCATTGGCTCAGGCGTCAGGTCCCTCATCACCTTGTCCCACCTAGGTGCGATGGGCAGCTGCGGAGGCGTCAGGGGGAGGAGCCGCCTGGAGCGCCCTTTGTCTGTGGAGGCTGGTGAGTGCTGCGCGCCGAGGGCCTGGAGACTGGCGAGCAGAGGGGCGGGTGGCGGCCCCAGGGTGCCCGGGTGGCAGTCGCCGACCGTGCGCTGGGCCCTGAGATCACAGCAGCGCGCTCAGCTTTCCCGACACCCTGTGTCCTTTTTTGACGAGAACCGCACCTCCCCAACGCCAGCCCATCCCAAGAGTTTAAACGTATATTCATCTGATATCTTACGCAGTTTATTTTTGTGTAGTCGTGGTTGGGTGTCATTTATTGTTTATCCGCTTTTTAAGATTATTCAAACATTCACCTTTATTTTCTTCTAGTACTTTAAATGACTTTTAAAATATCCTTTTACATTTTTATTTATTTACAGGTATTTTGTTGTAAGGAGTTAAATAGGATTATGCTACACACACACACACACCCGCGTTTTCTTGCCATCATCTGTTGAACCATTTAACCTCTGAATAGAAATGGCACTTTTGTAGTTTGCAGGCGTGTTTATAAATATACTCAGATCTGTTTGTGCACTGATACCATTTTGCTTTAATTTTAAAAGTTTTTTTGAAATGTAATTAATATACATTATTATATTGGTTTCAAGTATACACATAATAATTTGATGGTAATTTACATGATTAAATAACGACCCAAATAGTGTGGTTACTGTCAACACAGAATGATGTTGCGGAAGTATTGACTAATTTCTTTATGCTCTATTTTCATTCCCATGACTATTTCACTTAACATAATACCCTATAGGTCTACCCATGTTGCAAATGGCAGGAACTATTTCTTATGGTTGAATAATACTCCATTGCATATGATACCACATATTCTTTATTCCTTTACCTTACTGATGAACACTTTGGTTGTTTCCATATCTTGGCTATTGTAAATAACGCAGCAGTAAACATAGGAGTGCACATATCTTTTTCAAATCAGGGATTTTGTTTTCTTTGGGTAAATTCCTAGAAGTTGAGTTACTGGGTCATATGGTATTACTATTTATTAAGGGAGTAAATATTTGTAAATAAGAGCACGTAGTTAGCCATATTTGTGTTACTTATTATTATTATTCTCATAACATGTTCCTTATCTCAGTGAATTTCACCACCAAGTCTGAAACCTGAATTGCCATACTTAACTTCTCTTTCTTTCCCATAGTTTCTCTCCCAATCAAAAGTAAACTGGTAAGTTTAGACCCTTAAATATGTAGTGAATCTTCCATCTGTCATCTCTCACTTTTATTACTGCCACATCTCTGTAACTGGTCCTTGACTTTGATACAATATTGCCTTCACTCTGCATCCATGATGATCATGCTCATTCCTTGGAGCACCTTCATTCTATTTTTTGGCAAATATTAAAAATTTTAGTAAATATAGAAAAGCATCAAGAAAATTAGCTATATCACCACCCAGAGATAACCAGTTACTTTTTTTTTGGATATATCCTTTCAGGCTTTTTCTGCACACACACACACACACACACACACACACACACACACACACACACTATAATATGGCATATGCCATTATTATATGTATAATATTCATTTTTGAAACAGATTTTAATTGACAATATTGTGTATATCACTTCAATACAAAACAAAAATTTTAATACTCATTAAAAAATAGATTCCATTAAGAAATAATATAGTTGACAGAGGATTAAAGATAGTGGTGTGAGAGGTGAGAGACCTCCTCCTAAAACCACATGTAATACAAAAATATAATTAATACAACTAATCCTGAAAGAGCAACAGGAAAGAAGGTTGCACCAGACTGCTTACACCTGGAGAAAAGAGCAGACCTCACTGAACAGGGTCATGTTCCAAAACTGTGACCCAGCGGGACCCAAGCCCTTCCCCCACCCCAGCTCACCAGTGGGAGGAAGAGAAACAGCAGGGAGGAGGTGGAGGCCTGGGAATGCTGAATACCTAGCCCTGGAGATCTGCTCCGGGAGCATGAACCTACATTGCATGATTCTCTGGTGCTTTACTGGGGTTGGAAAGCTAAGACATGTGGAATACCTGGACAGATGGAGATTCCAGCTGCTTGTGGAAAACAGGGATTCATATCTGTCTGATCTGGGTAGGCAGTCTGAGAGACTTCTTAAAAGCAAGAGGGCTGGTACAGGGGCAAGGATTGCACAGAGCTTACTGCTCAGGAGAAAGGACAGGTAGACAAAATTGTCTGGGTGCACTCTGCCCAGCATGTTGGGAGCTTAAACAATCTTCAGGCACTCCATCACCCTGGCTGGCTAGCAATTCCAAGGCCCCCCACTGTGATACGCAGCCTGCTGTGTCTTCCTCCAGGCTATCCTGCACGTGGCTCAGGCTCACAAACCAGAAACCCCTGCCCTGGTGTCAGGCCAGCTAGAGAGAAGCCCTGCCTACAGCAGCTACAAACACAAAGCATAGAGGCTTATACCTGTGTGTTCGGGCCACTGGTTTTGGCAGTGGAGACAGGCATAGCAGCTGGGAAATAGGAAAGAGCTCTTTCCTCCCCCCAAGCACCAACACTGCTCCCCTGGGACTCCCAACATTCCTCCAGGGGTGGAGCAGTTCCAGACAGTAGAGCTTGTGGGCACTAGAGGGTACCACATACAAAATTATGAAATGTCAAAGGAACCTGGTTCAAAGCAAAATTATGAATAAACCTGAGAAAGATTCAAATGAAATTGACCTCATGAATCTTCCTGAAAGAGATTTCAAAATAAAAATCATTAACATGCTTATGGAGGTACAGAAAAATTTTCAAGATCTCAGGAATGAATTTAGGAGGGAGATCCAATTATTGAAGAACACAATAGAGGTTATTAAAAGCAGATTAGATATGGTGGAGGAAAAGATAAATGAAATAGAAATTAGGGAAGAGGAATAAAAAGAAGCTGAGGCACAAAGAGAAAAAAGGATCTCTGAGAATGAAAGAATATTGAGAGAACTGTGTGACCAATCCAAACAGAACAATATTTGCATTATAAGGGTACCAGAAGAAGAAGAGAGAAAGAGATAGAATGTGTCTTTGAGGAAGTAATTGCTGAAAACTTCCCCAGTATGGGGAAGGAGATAGTCTCTCAGGCCTTGGATATCCACAGATCTCCCAACACAAAGGACCCAAGGAAGACAACACCAAGACATATAGTAATAAAACTAGCAAAGATCAAGGATAAGTACAGACTATTAAAAGCAGCCAGAGAAATAAGATCACATACAAAGGAAAATCCATCAGGCTATCATCAGACTGCTCAGCAGAAAACTTACAGGTCAGAAGGGAGTGGCAATATATATTTAATGCAATGAAGCAAAAGGGACTCGAACCAAGAATACTTTATGTGGCAAGATAATCATTTAACTTTGAAGGAGGGATTAAACAATTTCCAGATAAGCTGAGAGAATTTAGCCCCCACAAACCATCTCTACAGTGTATTTTGGAGGGACTGCTATAGATAGAAGTGTTCCTAAGGTTAAATAGCTGTCACCTGAGGTAATAAAAAGGGACAGACAAAGAGTACAGACTATGATACCTAATATATAAAGAATGGAGGAGGGAGAAAAGGAGGGAAAAAAAGAAACTTTAGATTGTGTTTCTAATAGCAGACTATGTGAGGTAAGTTAGACTCTTAGTAAGGAAGTTACCCTTGAACCTTTGGTAACCACGAATCTAAAGCCTGCAGTGGCAATAAGGACATACCTTTCGATAATCGCCCTAAATGTAAATGGTCTGAATGCAACAATCAAAAGACATAGAGTCACTGAATGGATAAAAAAACAAGACTCAACTCTATACTGCCTACAAGAGACTCACTTCAAACCCAAAGACATACACAGACTAAAAGTGAAGGGATGGGAAAAGATATTTCAGGCAACCAATTGGGAGAAAAAAGCAGGTGTTGCACTACTTGTATCAGACAAAACAGACTTCAAAACAAAGAAAGTCACAAGAGATGAAGAAGGACATTACATAATGATAAAGGGATCAATCCAACAAGAATATCTTCACCCTGAAATATTAATATAATATAGAAATATTATAACTATGCACCCAACACAGGAGCACCAACATGTGAAACAAATACTAACAGAATTAAAAGAGGAAATAGAAGATAATGCATTCATTCTAGGAGACTTCAACACACCACTTGCTCCAGAGGACAGATCAACCAGACAGAAAATAAGTAAGGAGACAGAGGTATTGAACAACACACTAGAACAGCTGGACCTAACAGACATCTACAGAACACTCCACCAAAAAGCAGCAAGATACACATTCTTTTCAAGTACACATGGAGCATTTTCCAGAACAGACCACATACATACTAGGCCACAGAAAGAGCATCAGTAAATTGAAAAAGATTGAAATTGTACCACCGAACTTCTCAGATCACACGGGTATAAAACTAGAAATAAACTTATACAAAGAAAACAAAAAGGCTCACAAACACATGGAGGTAACAACATGCTCCTAAATAATCAATGGATCAATGACCAAATTAAAACGGAGACCAAGCAATATATGGAGACAAATGAAAACAACAAAATAATGCCCTAACTTCTGTGGGATACAGCGTAGGCAGTTCTAAGATGGAAGCATATAGCAATCCAGGCCTCTTTAAAGAAGGAAGAACAATCCTAAATGAATAATCTAAATTTACAATTATTGAAACTGGAAAAAGTTGAGCAAATGAGGCCCAAAGTCAGCAGAAGGAGGAACATAATAAAGGTCAGAGAAGAAATAAATAAAATTGAGAAGAATGAAACAATAGAAAAAGTTAATGAAATCAAGAGCTGGTTCTTTGAGAAAATAAACAAAATAGATAAACCCGTAGCCAGACTTATTAAGAAAAAAAGAGAATCTATACAGATAAACAGAATCAGAAGTGAGAAAGGCAAAATCATGTTGGACACCAAAGAAATACAAAGAATTATTAGAGAAATTATTACTATGAAAATCTATATGCTAACAAATGGTATAACCTAGAAGAAATAGACAACTTTCTAGAAAAAT